CTCAAGGCACCTCTCCTATGTCTGGTATTTGCAGACCAATTGCCCACAGATCACTTGGGGAGATTAAGCGAATCCTTTTTATCCACTCCAAGGCTACAAAGGCTGCCCTTAAAGGAAAGCACCGCCACTATCCTTCTGAAATTTGGCAGGATTTATTCCCTTAGGAAGGGCTACCATGTCTGCAAATTGTATCCCATTTCAGTGTGTGTGTGTGTGTGTGGCAGGCACCACAACCAGTTTCTGCAAAATGGCCTGGTTTCTAGGGAAGAGGGGTGAGAATGTGAACTCCGAAAAAGGCCTCCTGAGAAATTTCAACTTGAACTGCCTCTAAAGTGTCAGAATTGCAGTCTTGGTTGGTATCCTGCTCTGCTGCTAGATACACTAGTAGCAAAAGGAGCCAGGATGGCCAATTACCACCTTTGATTTGTATTATGATCCTCTCAGATCACGAGCTGGCATCCATTCTGCATGCATTGATAATCTCCTGTGGATTGCTGTAATGCACTTTACGCGGGGCTGCCTTTAGAGACGGCTAGGAATGCTTTGATTATTGCAGAAACCAGCTGCTCTTTTACGGAAGAGAAATCATAGTCCTGCTAAGATTGGCTGCCTGTTTGCTTCTAGGGCCAATTCAAGTGTTAGGGCTTACCATTAAAGACTCAGATGGCCTGGTTCCTGCCTATCTTCAAGAATTCCTCTTCCCATATGTGCCTCCATGGTCTTTCAAATCTACCCAAGACGTCTTGCTCTGTTTTCTATCATTATACCAAAGAGCACAAAACGAGGCCTTCACTGTAGCAATGACCCTTGTGTGGAACTCCCTAAAAATTCAACTGTTACCATTATAGAACTGCTCTGGAGGGCAGGGCCTGAACCAATGGCTTCAAGATACAGGGAAGGAGATTCCGTCTAAACATCAGGAAGAACTTTCTGACGGCAAAGGGCTGTTTGACAGTGGAAAGGTCTCCCTTGGATTGCCTTGGACTGCCCTTCCGCAGAGATTTTTAAGCCGTGATTGGATGGCCGCCTATCAGGGATGCTTTAGCTGAGATTCCTACCTTGCAGGGGGGGAGTTGGGCTAGATGCATAGCTGTTTTTGTGTGTGTGTTTTTAATTTATTTAATCATTTTTTTCAATACAAACAGCAACCACAAAAAACACATACAACAAAAACCACAATAACACAATTTAACAATTCAGATTTGAGTACTGATATACCTATAACTACACCTTTTTAACAGTATTTCCCCACCTCTCCTCCCCCTACTTCCCTCCACTTTCCGCCTTATCTCTTAAGTAATCCTTCCAGATTTCTTCATATTTATCCATTCTTAATTTGCGTCAATATGCAATTCGTTTGTATGTAACTAGTCTGTCCATATTGTCAATCCATGTGCTCAATGGGATCTTTTTGCTGCTCTTCCAATTCATCAGAACAAGTTTTTTTGCTTCTAACATGGCACGGTACGACCCCTTGTAATCTCCCACATTTCTGGTATATGATTTAGAATTAAATGCAAATCTCCTAAATAACATTTTTTTAATTACTATTGCTATATATATCCTCACCTCGCACCAAAATGATCTTATCATCGGGCAGCCAATCATCATATGTACTAAATTTGCATTTTTACTTCCACATCTCCAGCAGTTGTCTGCATTTGTTATTTTCTTCTGGTAAAGTTTTGCTGGAGTCCAATGGACTCTGAATATTATTTTCTGCTGAATAAGTCTTAGTCTTAGATCCATAGAAGCTATTTCTGTTGATTTTATACACGACTCCAATATCACTTGTTATCTAAATCATACTTGCATAGCTGTCAACTTTTCCCTTTTCTTGCGAGGAATCCTATTCGGAATAAAAGGGGAAACCTTGACAGCTGTGGCTAGATGACCTTCGGGGTTCCTTCCAGCTCTACAGTTCTAAATACAAACGTCACAGATCTCCTGGACCTCTCGCACTTCATGGCCTTTTGGCCTCACTGTTTACAAAATTAGTTTCCCTATCTGTGTCTGCCAAGTGAGGATAACAGTTCATGCATCCGATAAAGCTGATACTTTCCCCCTGAAGCTTGTGCCAAAATAGACCTTGAAGGTGCTTCAGAAGACTAAATTGTTTTTGCTGTACCAGACTAATCTGACTACCCTTCTGGAGTTTCCCAGAAGTTAGGCATTCTTTATTTGATAAGGGTTTTGCTAGCATCTTGCTCATTGCACCAGAGTGTTCCAGAGGCTTCCACTGATGGAAGTCTTATTGCCAGCTGAGTGACAGTGTTGGATACAGCCCAGTGGTGTCTATTCACATATTTTTGTGTAGACCACCAAGTATAAATGAATCCAGCTATCATTTTAGGTTTGCATAGAACTGCTAGGTGCAAGGAATTAATTCCTCAGCAAGTAGACCTGTTAATACGCGATTAAAACTTCACGATCCCAGTGTCCACCAATAAAAGCTTTATTGTAGGCAGGCAAAATACATGGTTATATTGACATTGTATGGTTTTACAGGATAAAGAGAGAGTCCCCGGAAGGATTCTTGAAACTGGACTAAGCTCTTAACGACATAAAGAGGAACAAATGCTGTCACTGTTGAAATATTTATTACAATATTTCAGCCTTCCTTCGAGAAGCTGAGGGCATTGTATAACCCACATTTTATTCTCACAACAACCCTGTGAGTTGAGTTTGACTGAGAGAACGTGACTGGGCGAAGGTTCACCCCATGAGCTTTGTGGCTGAGTGAGGATTTGAACCTGGATCTCTGACGTTCTAGTTTAACATTCTAAACACTCCTGCACACTGGCTCTCAGGTGCCTCAATATGAGACGTTGGAAGTAAGTTAGAGTACAATTTTCTAGAATCTAAATGTGACTTTGCACCAGAATGGAACGTTTATTCTGTGTGGAACAAGCCTTTTACTCAATCGTGGTGGAATAAATAATAGATAAAATTATTTGACCTGTGCTTGTTTACCACTTTCCCATAACTCTAATAGATCACTTTTAAAATGTCAGTATTGCCAAAAACCCTTTTCCTTTTACATCCCCAGTGGCGTAGGAAGGGTGTGTGTGGAGGGGGTGGGTTGCCCTGGGTGCCACTCTGGGAGGGGTGACAAGATGGCCCCTGCCTCCCCTTAGCTGTAGAGCGAGCGAGGGTGCCCGCAGTCTCTATGGGCGCCACTCGCGCACCGTCCGTACAGACTGTGCATGTGCAGCATTCTGTAGGGAGTGCGCACACACAGGATGCTGTACATGCACAGTCCATATGGGCTGCACCGCCCTGGGTGACGGAGAGGGTTCCTCCACCACTGTACATCCCCCAGTGAACTAAGGTTCAGATTTCATTTCTTCAGGTTTACCATGGCTCAGAGCTGTAAAAATGGGAAACCAATGGTTCCTGTGTTGTTGGACCTCAACTCTCATCCTACAACCTCTGTCCACAGTCAGTTCAGCCACTAGTCAGGGGCGATCAGCAACATCTCTGGAGGGATGCAGATTCTCCAGTCCTATGCTAGGCATTTTGCCAGAGGCCGGCAATCTCATGGCGATTTCTAATGATCTACTGGAATCCACTATGTGAATTCTTACCATCACACAGTGAAATTTTTTCCTTTGCTCTCTGCTACTGATCATCACCAATGTGGCCCCAAATCACATAGTGATATGGCTGGCAGTAGTAAATTCACCATTTGAATATAAGGTTTAAAGCAGTTCTGCAAATAAGTCTTCAGAAGACCACTAGTGGCCAGTGTAGTGGTATGGAACTTAACTTGAGAGGGCAGAGCAGTGGAGTTGTAAACATTTTTTTTGGGGGGGGGTGGCTCACTCAGGTGGGAGTGCTGGATTGCCTCCACCATAGCCCTGCCCAGTCCCCATCCAGGTTATCTGCAACGACACTGGTGTTTGGAGGGTGACTCCACCCTTCCACACCAGCCAATACTGCAAAAATTACTTAGCCCACAGATTATTTTACTAGTCCACTTCTATTTGGTTCATCTGAAAGAAAAGCACCACCACCAGTTTCCCAGTGTATAATTGCTTCCCTTCCCAATCATGTGACGCTTATTCCTACTCGCCGCATGTGATGAGGCAAGCAGCCATTTTGAAACCCTGTCAGCACCAACTCTTGGAGTTCATCCAGCACTAGATTGGGATATTTTTTTCACACCCAAAGAAAAGTACAAATTTGCTAGCATGATGGAACTCAAAGTAGCATATAAGGGATGTTAATGCTGTATTGTTTTTAATACTCAATTGGGAGCCGCCCAGAGTGGCTGGGGAAACTCATAATATTTTATTATTATTATTATTATTATTATTATTATTATTATTATTATTATTATTATTTACCTCGTGGTCTTCCATTCAGACACTGCCCAGGGCTATACATGCTTAGTTTTAAGTTGACAGGCCTTCAGACAATTCCTGGGGCTTGAAATAACAACCTGCATTTGCAAACTTGGTGCCCTCCAGCAGTTTCGGACTGCAACACCCATCCCTCCCAGCCAGCAAAGCTAATGGTGAGGGATGATGGGAATTGTAGTTCAACACCTGAAGAGTACCAAGTTGGGAAGCCAGCTCTGAAACTAACTGCCTCCACATTCAAAAAGCCTTCGTGGTGGTGGGGAAGAACCACATTAAGCAACCAATAACTGAAGCCAATGTATTATAGGGAAAAGAAATCCATTTTTTTATTTTTTTCACTCATAATTTATTTACAAATACACATTATAACTTTTATATACATTGCACATTTACATGGTAGAAAAGTACAAAACTATATATTTAAATGAATTTATATTTAACTCGCCATGTTTGAAAATATAAAATTGCCTCAGAAAAAAAAAGTATTATGAAAAGCAAGAAACTTGAACTGATAAAGCTTTGATATAATATTCTGTGAACACTTTGAATGAGAAATGAAAAGGACTTTTAAAAATGGAACTGCAGGACTATCTTAAAGGAAACATCAAATAAAACGTTGATGCATGTGACAATGTATTTTTTTTCCAATAAAAAATTATGCTCTCATTACATTTAGCCATATAGCTATTAACGGCCTTCATAATCCGATCTTTGGGTTTGGATTCTCATAGTACAGTAGAAATGTCCAGTACACTGAGATCACCTCAATAACATGAATCAATCAGAAGAACATAACCAAGGGATAACCAAGGGGAAGAGGTTTCCTTATAGACTGCCTCATTGCACCCCGAATCTATAGTTAAGCCAGTTTACAGCGCCTTTTGGTCAGTCAAGATTCCTTGTAAACAAATACCCGAGGGATTGTGGATGTATGTACAGAACCGGCAAGGAAATGCAATAAATAAAAATGTAACAGGAAACTGACATGCAAAGTTTTGTTAAAGTGGAAAAGAGTTAACACTGGCAGAAACAAGGATATGAAGAGTTGTGATGGGGATGGGGGGGATAAGCTCTAAGGAATGGATTTATAGTTTACAAGGGGGAAAAAAGAAGCTTTACTATACAGGCAAGAGACCTCACAATAAATAACACTGTTCATCCCATAACGATTAAATTTCTTCCAAAAAAAAAAAAAAAGGTGTACAGTCAATCGGACATTTTTTATGTATAAATTATAAAACATGACACAGTATAAATAAATGTCTACAAGATTCAACTATATGTATACTTTTTTCTTCCCCAAATAAATAAGCATACATTTATGTACAGTATGGACATTGTATTTCTTGCCCAATGGCTGTTCCAAAAGTGATGGAAGTTTTACCACTGATTGGAAGATAAGCTGTAGTCCTGGTCGTCGTCTTCGTCGTCTTCGTCAAGATCTTCATTAATGGCTAGATAGGAGAATACAGGGGAGCTGTTGTTTAAACACGGACAACAACAGCGCAGAAGCAGCTCAGAGAATGTTTTCAAAGCCCCCTGCATAGCCGTGATAGAGAGTTGCATTTTTACTCTTTTTTTGTTTTGCTTTTTTTAAGCGTGGCTTGTAGTGAGATGCGCTTTGGCATCTGCTGTTACGCAATAAAGTTTTTGTGTGCATGTGTGTGTGTGTTACATAATCTATGAAGTCATAACTGCAGCAAGTTCTGAAGACTCAATGGCTCAGGTTTTATTGGCAGATTCCTGAAATTAGATAAAAAGTGCTCTTGTGTTCTAGGTTTTTTAAACTGCTTTTTTATTTTTATTTTTTTGAGTCCTTCATTCAGAGGCAACTGCAAGGAGACAGCAGCCCACGTGGTTAAGTGTTAAGCTAGGGGGGTCACGGGAGGGAGTGGGGAGGGAGGGTGCGATTAGATTGTAGCCAAGTGTTAATAAAGCAAACAGCAAAGCACACTGAAGCAAACGATATTAAGCGAGGGCAGGAAATCGCCCGAAAGATGCATTTAAAGGCAGCCCTCTGATGTTAAGCAGACCCTTTCCTACAATGAGAAAAGGCTCCCCAAAATGTCCGCTGTTGGCTATCTGTTATGCCTTACGAACCACAAGACGTCTGTATAATATATAAATCTTTCTGCATAAGATCTCTCTCATGTTCCCTTTCATGTTTAATAAGGGTGTCAGTCTTCCCTAAACTGGGGGCTGTTTTGCCTTCAGAAGATAACCGTTCCTGGGAAGGTTAAAAATCTCACTTACAGTTGCAAGATCCTGGGTGCTTTACTTCCAAAAGCACACCCAGTGAACACGCTGCCTCCTTCATAGCACATTCGCTTGGGTAAGTGGTGTTATCGCTGGCACAAACAGATTCATCCGATTTGCTTTCGGGACAGAGCTCGTCGCAGAGGGCACACCGGCCTCTACCCACTTTTAAATCCCACAAACATTTCTTCCCGGTGCTGCACTGGATGTCTTCGCAAGATTTGGCCTCTACAAGAGATTTTCATTAAAAAAAAAAGAAAAAGAGGGGAGGGGGAAAGAGGTTGACGTTTGTTTGTTTGCTTGCTTGTTGTTTTTTTTTTAAAAAAAGAACAAAAGCAAAGTAACTGTGAATTTATATTCTGACAATTTCTGCAGGGTCACAAAGATGATTCCAAAAAACAACAACCCTGTGACTGCCCAACAGGCAGTGGCGTAGCGTGGGTTGTCAGCACCCGGGGCAAGGCAAGTAATTTGCGCCCCCTAACCCGTGGATTTGTGCCCCCTAACCTGTGGATTTGCCCTAACCCCAGATGTTGCGCCCGGGGCGGCCGGCCCCCCCTGCACCCCCCACGCTACGCCACTGCCAACAGGAGGCAGTGAAGCTGGAGGTGTGGGAAGAAGCTAGGACTTAAAATTGAGTTTTACTTGTCTCCTGGTTTTCTGATGGAGGGTGGGGCCCTGGCTGAAAGTTTTAGCTAGAAGAGGGAGAGTTTCAGCTAAAGGCACTGGAGGCTGTGAGTGCAATCTCAGAGAGGTTTCCTTATCCAACACTCTCAATCAGCAGAGGCTGATGCCCCTTAGGACTGGCAGGGAGGCCAACAGTAGATGCAACCAGAGTCAACGGCAGGTAGAGCAAGAGACAATGATAGGCAGGGCCAACTAATTCTGGTTTTGCCCCCATCCTTCTCCCTACTGAATTCTGCAAATGCAAGAGATGAAGGAGGAGGAGGAATCTGACTGCTAGTGCCACTCTCTGGACTGATTATTAGGAGGTGGGGGCTGACAGAGGACAGACTAAGATTGGTAAGGCAGAGCTCCATTCATCCTAGCAGACCAGCCTCCAATGCTGTCTGCTCAGGTTAGGTAGAGAGACAGGGTCATGATGCTGGTGGCTGAGAGGCATAGCAGTGAGGTGATGGATGACAGAGCTGTGTGGGCTACCCAGCCTGCCCTGCACCTCATAAGCTATACTGCTATCCTCCTGTTTGGTGCAGAATCCTGTTCCTTCTCCTGTTTTGAAACAAGATTCATTTGCTAGCCTGATCTACTTTCTGAACATGGAAGGTTGAGGAGTGCCATCTGTTCCTTTGCTGGCCTTAGGATTGTTTTACTCTATTTGCCTTTGGGTGTAATGGCTCAAGCTGAAACCCTTGCCATGGCCAAGTCCAAATCCTATAAATCTGATTTATCGGCAACAGCCACCACAGAAAGTGCCAGCCCTTAAAATTGTGTTGTCTGGGGTGAAGGACAAAGTGGTGACACTCCTCTACTCCACACACAGAAACCAACTGTGCTGGTGGTTGAATCTTACTTCCACACTAATGACGGGATAATGCTCCTCACCACACCTAGAGAGGCCAGGAGAGGCTGTGTGGCAACACAAGGGAATGGCTGCAGAGCTCAGGAGGAACTTTGGGTGGCTGCTGCTTCTACCCACCAGCATCTGCCGCCTGAGGCGTGTCCCTCACTTTGCCTAGTGGTAGGGCTGGCCCTGACTCTAGGGAAGCACTAGGGGTGAGTGTCAACTCTCTGTGTGGGCTGGATAACCAGGTGAATCAGAGTGATTCAGGAGTCTTTCCCTCCCATGCTGAAGTGCCACATCAAAAAGAAAGACAGGCCCGCCCACTCGGGATTATGGACGAAAATGTATCCCTTTTATGTCCCTCACAAAAAACAACAACACCCCACTTGGATCAATTTATCCACAATTTGACAGGCATAATCCACTCTGGAAGGACTACTGTGCCTGCAAACTTCATCCACTCTGGCCAAAATAGGGGAAAAGTTTTAGCTAATGTTAGATTCCCCATTACAAGTGAATGAAGAAACACAGAGTTGTTTTAGACACAGTGCCTGGGAACTAGAGACACAAATCAAAGCAGAGAGAATTCAGAGTCACCTTGAAAGGAACCAGAGTTTTAAAAAGGCACAGATTCAAGGTGAATTTTTAGGCCCATTCCCTATGAATAAAAGAAAACGCACATGACTGCCTTTAAAATGGCCCTAGGTTGCCTGATAAAGGGGGTGTTGGTGACACACATTTGCCACTGAGATCCATAAGCATAAGCATACTCTCTAGGGAGCAAATCCCATGGAACCCAGGACGACTTAGAAGTGGGCTATGTGGCTCTTGTGTCATACTGATCTTCCAGGTCAGAGGTAGTGGCCTACTGCCAATGTAACAGCTTCTACATGAGCTGCTGAGCCAACTCTGGGCACAGGGACAGCTCCCAGTGCTGGCACAATGTTATAAACTAGTAATTGCTGCTGGTCCCAAGACCCCTGTGCTCGATCTTTGAGGCCAAAGATCAGAATAGGATTTTTAAGGGAAAGGCATGCGAGGAGAGAGGGAGGGAGGGAGGGAGGGAGAAGCATCTTGCTTTCTAGGGCTCAATTAGTCCTCTATTTTTATAAACAGTGGCAGACCCAGCCGCAATGGTCACACTGAATGACTAGCTCTGCATTCTCAGAAGGGTCAGATAATGTAGCAAACCACTTATGACACCAGAAGGAGTTGCAAAATCAGCTCGTGTTACAGCAAGGAGCCCAAACAAGATCAAAGTTTTGTCTCCCACTCTAGGTGTTAGGTTAGCACGGCAAAGCAAGGGGAGATTGCGTGATCAGAAACCTCTCTGTCTTGAAGTGTTACTGTACTCATTTTGCCTGTGTTTGAATTTGCGTAGAAATGTCACTGGCTGTACATTTTGCAAGTCAAGGTCCTTTAGCTTCAATGTTTACAGCCAACTGAGGACAACATTTCATGCAATCAGTAAAATGGCTTGTGGTGCATGAACACTAATACCAGGTTAAATTTATTTACCTTGAAGGATCCACTGCAGTCTTTATTGTTTTAGCATGGAGTGTATAGTGTATGTGACTGTATAGGGCAGTGGTGAGGCGGGGCAGGGGGAGAGCTGCTGTTAAAAAAAGTTAAAAATCTAAGATCTTGGCCACGTGCAAAGTGCTTTTTAGATTGTAGCTGTTGCCTTTCTTTCTGTCCATAAATTCAGTACAAGATATATAATTTGCAGCTGATTATCAAATTAGTAAATTATATAAGGGAATCACATTAGCCGTTGGCTTCAGTTGTACAACCTTCAGCTGAAACTTGTATTATCTTCTTTCTCGGATGCTATGGCTATTATGCACGCTAACATGGCTGTACCGTTATTCCCCCACTCCTGGGGAGATCTAGTTTCCCCCATGCTGTGTATAGCACTGAGGAAATTGCATTTCTCAATGGTCTAGGCATAAGAGCGGTGAATATGAATGAAAGTCCCCTTCTTTTGTTCATCTCCTGTAGTTCCCCAGCTGACCTCCTGATTTGCTTGTGCAGTGTTTATATAGCTTCGTGTTAATCGTTCCTTCATCCCACACTTTTCAGTGTACTTCCCCGTCACTTTCCTAACTGCAGAAAGTCTGTTGATATTTTGGATTTGTTACACTAAGGCCACAGAGCACTTCAATCTTCTTTAATTGTGCTAACCTAAATGTCCAATATGTGCTTTAATCCCTTGACCAAACATAAATGGAAGGATGTAAGGTTGCCATATTTAAAAAACTGAAAATCCAGACAAAAAGGTTGTTGAGCTTTTTTTGAAAAAAAAAATTATTTGCCAAAAAACCCCACACTTCTGATATGGACTGATATGGGTTTCCCCAGACATATTGACTGATTTCCAAAAATGCCACCTGGATGCCATTTTTGATGGACGTATTCCAGAAGCAGCTGGGGGGGGCAGAACCTGCCATGCTCTCAGTGGTATCATCAGGGAGACAACAGGCTCAGCTTATTTTTTCTGAATTTGTTTTTTCCAAGCCTAGCACCATGCATGACCAGGGTTGGTAGTGATAGTTCCCTGTCACTAATTTTGACACTGGCAGATATCACCAACTGGCTGATTTCCCCAGGTATGTTCAAATAGGGTTCTGCATTTTTCATTTGTAGACTTAAAATAGGAAATTGTTTGCTTTTTTATCATCCATTGTAAATGCTCACAAGTGATGCATTCTGGACTAAAATGTGCTTTTAATAGCACTTAGGAAAGCTGCCTGGGTGGCAGAGCAGGACAGAGTCCTTTAATGTAAGGGAATGTAAGTACAAAGGAGCTATTGAGGTGTAGTGTGCCAGATTTAAATAAGTTAAACATACATTCAGAACCCTGCTCAGCTGTGATACACACCGCTTGATCTTGGGGGGAAAGACACAGGATATGTTGCTAATCTAAAGTCTGACGCCCACAAATGGCAGATGAGGTGGTAAAACCTTGCCAGGACAATGCCTCTTGAGACTGTATAAAAAGGTAAAGGTACCCCTGCCCGTACGGGCCAGTCTTGACAGACTCTAGGGTTGTGCACCCATCTCACTCAAGAGGCCGGGGGCCAGCGCTGTCCGGAGACACTTCCGGGTCACGTGGCCAGCGTGACATTGCTGCTCTGGCGAGCCACGGAAACGCTTGAGACTGTATATATGAGCTCAAATGGCTGAATGCAAAAAAGAGAGAGCTCCCTACAAAAATCCCTAGAAAACTTGAATGCCAGGAAGAAAGCTAAGCTAGAAGTTCTCTTTTTGATCTACTTTTCTACTACATTTATTTGTTTATTGTATGGAGAAGCATTTGATCATGTAAGTCCATAGCTGCAATCTGAATTGGTACAGCACTGAGAGTTTAACTTACTATCCACTGTTTGTGAGAACGAGGTTAAAAAGCCCTTTCTCCAAAGGCCTGCCCTTTTTGGAGAAAGGGGAGAGCACAACTTTAACAAATGATCTGAACTCCCAAGTTTTCCCAATAGGACAGAGTTAAAAAGCATCTCCAAGGTTAATGAGAAAGTTTCTGGAAGATGGAGAGGAGCATGTCTTCTGCGGAAACAGGCAAAAGCCGTCTCCTATCACACGCAACCCCACCCCTCTACAGTGGTACCTCGGGTTACAGACGCTTCAGGTTACAGACTCTGCTAACCCAGAAATAGTACCTTGGGTTAAGAACTTTGCTTCAGGATGAGAACAGAAATCGCCCGCTGGCGGCGCAGTGGCAGCGGGAGGCCCCATTAGCTAAAGTGGTACCTCAGGTTAAGAACAGTTTCAGGTTAAGAACGGACCTCCAGAATGAATTAAGTTCTTAACCCGAGGTACCACTGTATCTTCAAATTCCATACTGGAATCAGCAGGGAACTGGGTTTTGTAGAAAAATTATTGAGTTAACTAGGGCTAGAAGTATTAACTGCTTTTGACTGTATTTCTGCCAGTGATGAAAGTCTCAATTCTGGGGGGTACTCCTTGCAAAAAGGTTTGTTTCAGTTGCCCTCACTTATCCTGACCCTTAGCTGCCGCCTGTGATACAAATCTGACTGGCTTTGCAAAGTTGTAATGATATCTCATAATGATATCCTCAGTTGGTATGGTGATCTATGAGGAAGGTGCAAGAAGTTGCAGCAAGTGGGGAAATGGCAGAGATATAGCAGCCAGGTAAATGGAATTAGAAAAATGGATTTTCTGTAGAAATTTCCATGCCACTGAAATGGCTAGTCTTGACCAAAAAGTAGAGAAAAACTGGCGCGCCCCTTGCACAACACATTCCATTCCTCGTCTTCCACACCAAAACCACAGCAGAAGAAAATGCTAAAAGTTCCAAAATTACTTAAAAACCAAGTAGGAATGTATTCCTGGAATCCAGAAATCCAGGTTTTAGTTCAAGAAAACTTTCTATTTAATTCAGCTGACAATTACTGAGGACAAATATTTGGCCCACCTCCCACTGGAACCCCAAATACATGAGGATACCAGATCTTTGAAGATGTTTTCAGACCACATGGCTTCAGTGTTGAAGTCAACTGGATTCCAATAGAAACAACTGCCTGAACAACAATTCATGGGGAATATTATTTTACATGGACCAAAAATAGCTATTCTCCCTTAAAAATTTTAGATCTCTCACAGGAGTGGGGAAATAACAGTTTGTAGTGAAGCCATGTAGCGTGCATAGCCATAGCATCAGACAAAGAAGGGATGAGAAAAACCTCTTTCCAGCCTTGGCGTACTGAGTGGATGGATGGAAGGGAGAACTGAAGGTCTTCTTGGACTCAGGTTAAAATCTGAACCGGAGAAGAAATTTGGGGCTCATAATACCAGCCTCATATTGTAGTTACCCAAATTTGCATTTTTGGGCTCACAATACTAATCTCCTATTGGAGTTACCCAAATCTGCATTTTTCAAGTCTGGAATTGTGAATTTCAGCACCAGCCCAATTCCTGAGCCTCTCCCCTTGCTGTCACTTAAACTGCCATCTGCTCCTCTTCCGTTGCAAAGAAATTGTATTAGAATGATTATGGTTGCCGGATGAAGGAGAAATTTTAGGGGATTATTATTACCTGATAGTTTAATTGATTAACAATGCAACACTATAGATGTCTACTTGTCACCACCACATCCAAATACTAGTTGGATCAGCTCATGGATCGTGGGGGCAGGGGACCTCGGGGGATGCACAGGGCTTTGGATCCAGTGGCTCTAAACCAGGTGGTTCCCCACAATGGAAAGCCCTGTTTTAGGGCTTCATGAGCTTTTGCACCCACTTGGGCATAGCACAGACCCTCCAAGTGTCCCTATTTCCCAAGGACAGCCCTGATTTAGAGAAGCCATCCTGGTTTTCTGATTTGATCCCAGAATGTCCCACTTTCCCCTAGGATGTCCCTACTGTATTTTCATTGGAGAAATGTTGGAGGTTATGGAGTTATCTGACCCTCAAGCTGTTTGAAGGCAGTCCTGTACAGTCGTATCTTGTTTTGCGACTGGGATCCATTCTGGAGCCTCGACCACTAGCCAAAAAGGACGCAGGGCAAAGCACCGTGTCTGCGCACGAGTGCTTCCGGGTTTGCCGCGGACGTTTGCCGGAATGGGCGCTAGATGAGGCGGACGTTCGCAGAGGTATAAGGAAGGGTTTTTTAAAATGTTTAATGTTTTATTGTGTTTTTTATATATGCTGGGAGCTGCCTAGAGTAGCTGAGGCAACCCAGTAAGTTGTGTGGGGCATAAATAGAAATATATATATATATATATATATATATATATATATCATTATGGAATGGGACCTCCCTAATTTCATTGGAGAAATGTTGGGGGGTATGATAGCATGGGACCTCTGCCACAGTGGAGCCATCCCATAATAATAATAATAATAATAATAATAATAATAATAATAATAAAATTTTTATTTATATCCCGCCCTCCCCAGCCGAAGCCGGGCTCAGGGCGGCTAACAACACTAAAACAGTGCAACATTATAAAAACATTATAAAAATTAATTAAAATACAAATACTAGTGGTACAGAGGCCAGCTTCCTAACATCTCAAGTCATTGACATGGAATCATAGCACTGTAGAGTTGGAAGGGAATGGAGTGTATGTATTAGGGTTGTCCCATCAATCTATGTACATTTTCCCGTGATAGGAAAAAAGCCACAGCAGTTCTTAAGAGGGAAGCATGCTGAAATTTGGTTTGACTGATGTACACATGCATTGAAGCAGGCAGAATTTTGTAAGAGGCATTTCCTTTTCACATAGGAGAGAATGCGTCTTGCAAGATGATACTTTCTATCTGCAGTGTTAATAGCTATGGCTATTAAAAATAATTTTCAAGTTGACCTCAGGGCACCTTTTTATGTCAATATAATTGTTTAAAATAGATTCATCTAAGTAATTTAGCAAGGTGTGGGGAACTTGGGGTTCCAACATTGTTGGACTCCAATTCTCATCAGCCCCAGCCTGCACAGCCAACATTTAACAATGATGGAATATTTAGTCAGCAGGTTCCTCACCCCTGATCTAAACCTTGCCATCTTAATTGTAACAGAAATTGAGGGCAAGCAAATGTGGTTTGAAATAAGATCCCTGTCACAGAATCATCAGGTTGCCTTGATCAAGTCTCTATCTCACACCCTCTTTCTCTCAAAGCCTTTAGTTCTTTAACTTTAAAATGTAAATCATACCTCACAGAATCATTGTGGGGGCCAGTGTGTGTAAAGTAAATGAATATATATTTGCCTTGCTGGCTTATGCCACCTATATCTGAGGGGCACAGATACCCTGAAAGCAACCTCTCTCCACTCTGGAGGGTTCCTCTGGCTTACAGGTTGCCCAAATCCAGGTGTCTCGTCCAGCCAATATTGAATAGACACTCTCTGACACTGGCTGTTGTATGGTGCTCATTGCCCTTCTTGTTAAGGCGACTGATGGAAGCTATCTGGCTCCCAATAGGGTAGCCCCACAACCATTTGCCACTCCACGCATTGGTAAACTTCCCCGTGAGACAAGAGGAAGCAGAATGGGGATTACAATAACCGTAAATGGTAATATTTAAAGTTTATAGAGCACCTTTTGAGTGTTCAAAGTCCTACATTCCTGCGGTGTGATTCTATAAAACAGTATTTTCCTCGCTCTTCAGTAGATACAGTTGGCCCTCACTCATCTGAGGTGAACTCAGAAAACCTACCAAGATAACTGGTGGAGAGTCCACACAGAAGAGGTTCTGTGGGCAGGAAGGAGGGTGTGTGTCCTCAGATGGGGAAAAATCTATTTAAAATGACTTGAAGAGGAGAACTGATCAGGGTAAAGGTTAAACACAGGATCATAGGAAGTGGCTTATGCCAAGTATTGTCTACACTGACAGGCAGCCGTTCTCCAGGAATCGAAACTGGGTTTTCTCCCAGCCCCGCCTGGAGATGGCAGGGATTCAATCTTCTGCATGCAGAACAGATGCTCTATCACTGAGCCAAGGTCCTTCCATAAACACTCCTTCCACCTGCCAGTTCTCTCCTGTGGCTGCCTCTCCACAGAGCAGGGAGCCCTGTGTTTCCCTCACAATACAGATATTGGTTTCCACCCATGAGGCACAGATCCCAAGTTGGATGGTGTAGCCTCCTTCATTCAGGCCTCTCAGGTTTTCCCCTCCCCAATGCATGGTACTTACTGATACATTTTCCTTCGTAGGCTAGACCGATGGATCTTCCGAGCAGGCAGGTCGCTTTCCTCAGATGACAAGCGCTTGCATATGTGATCCCGTCGTTCCCACAGAGATACTGTTCAGGGGAGGTAGGCTCTGGGCAAATCCGATTGCATGTCACACAGTTGGCGTTATTGTTTTGATCGACCACACAGGTGGAGCTGCCAGGGCACAAAACGTCTCTACAGGTCTCTGAAAGAATAGACAGGGGGAACGACCTGTGAGCAACAACAGGAACCACCTCCATCACCAAGCAGCCTAGAATAACATGTGGCACCAACAGCAACCATTGAGAAGTTGTTTAGTAGCTTTTTACGTTAAATGGGAAATGAACACAGTGAAGAAATGGCCACTCTGTCTCAGTGGTGGGGAATCTCTGGCCCATCTCTGGCTAATTAGGCCTGTTTCCCCCAAACCATTCTGGCCCACCTGCTCCACCCCTGCAAATATATCTGTCTGTCCCACACATCAGGGCTTGTAAAGTGTGAGCAGGCAAAAACAAGCCAGACTGCTTAGTCCTCATCCAGTGGGCTCCCACTTCCAGTTTTTGAAGTTGCATATGCATGGTGTTTGTTGCAATCCAGGTGAATCCTCTAGTTTCTTGAGGTAAACTGCTGTTTTTCTCAAACCAGCTTACAACAATAATAGTAATTTGTTATTTATACCCCACTCATCCAACTGGGCTGCCCCAGCCACTCTGGATATCCAACAGGATATAAAATTCTGTTACAGGACTGCCTTCAAATGTATTTAGCAGGTTGTGTAGTTGTTTATCTCCTTGACATCTGATGGGAGGGTGCCACTGCTGAGAAGGCCCTCTGCCTGGTTCCCTGTAACTTCACTTCTCGCAGTGAGGGAACTGCCAGAAGGCCCTCAGAGCGGGACCTCAGTGTCCAGGCTGAACAGTTGGGTGGAGGTACACAGAGCCAAAGCAGTTTAGGGCTTTAAACATCAGCACCAACATTTTGAATTGTGCAAGGAAACATACTGGGAGCCAATGTAGATATTTCAGGACCGGAGTTATATAGTCCCGGCAGCTGCTCCCAGTTCCCCGTCTGGCGGCCACATTCTGGATGAGTTATGAGTTTCTGAGTAACCTTCAAAGATAGCCCCATGTAGAGCTTCAATATGACTAGCCGCATTTACTTCATACTTATGAAGGATGTGTATGTGTGAGACAGCCACCACACATGAGGCAGATGACAGCTGCAAGAGCAGGAATTCCAGGTGGAGAGGGTTGCAAAGCCATGCGCATCCAGGCGAAGACACATCTGCCTCCTGTCTGGTGTGAACAACACCATGCAAATGTGAATTGAAACACAGCGGGGGGTGGGGCAGGGAATGAACTTGCTGTGTTTTAAGTCTCCCTTATCTGTGGCGGCAAAGGGGACATAAGGATCCGGCCCATTGGCCTGATCCAGTTCCCTACCCCTGCTTGGTTTACTAGCCACAACATGGATAGTGCTGCTGTTTTCAAAACTTGGTGTCGCATCATCTGCATCCCAGTGCACCTTGTGGTGAACCCTTGCCAAGCCAAGAGGGCACAAAATAACAACAACAACAACAATTATATGGGTCCCTATTGAGAAGAGCCATAAAAAAGCAACTGTATCAAAAGGAATGATTGTGAAAATAAGAAATATTTAGGCAGGGAGGGGTGCGCGCCAAATTTTGTTCTCACCCAGGGTGCCATACTACCAACATCCACCCCTGTTATGTGGATGAGTGTGACACTGTGAATGTTCTCTTGTGGAAAAAGTAACAGCTCCCAGCACATGAAAACAACTAGGGCATCAAGGAACAGGATCAGCGTTAACTATTCTCCAGGATGATTCTTGCTTTCTAATTGCACATATGTTTTAATTGTACATATGTTAATTGCTTTTTGGTTGGGGGGAGGGTAATTTTCAAGTGGCATTCCCCACCTATAGCCTGAAGAGGAACACTTGAGCCAACCGCCTGAGGACTCTACCACCTCATTCCGTTACACATGGGTAGGACAGGCTTCTCGGCACCCTTAACAAACTACAGTTCCCAGGATTCTTTCCCCTTTTTTAGAGGGGAAGCCATGTGCTTTAAATGTATAGCGTGTACACAGTCCTTACTGGGGGAACTTGAGTTAGAATCCACAAAGCACTTTTCTGCACTGGTATCTCCTGCATTATATAACATGATAAGTAGTATACCGGGAGAACCAGCAACTTCTGATTTTCCAGATAGACCTTCTCCCCCCACCAGCATTGCGACCCAGAGAACAGATTTGTTGCAAACTTACTTTTGCATCTGCCCTGGTACTGGACTTCAAGTTCCGGCTGCTCTTTACACCTGGCTTTCAGAAGGGCACACTCATTCTTGTAGGTCTTCCCATCCAAGCCACACACTGGGCCCTTCCATGTGATATTAGAGCAATCCGGAGCACAGACACACCGAGGTTTGTTCTTCTTGTTCATTTTGCATTTCTTCCCAGGCCCACAGTCCACATTCTCACAGGTTTCTAAAGAGGAAACGGGAAAGGGAGCAGGGCAGTGTTGGGGGCGGGTGGAAGAAAAACCCAGAGACATTGCTTTAATTGAACACCCAGAGTCCTCACTACAGCTTCACAAACAACCACAGGCTGACCCAGAATATAAGGAAGGTTATCCCCTCTCCCCTCACCGTAGCAAAAGGCCATAAAATAAAAACACAGGATCTTCCCGTTTGCTGAGCCGGATGCATTCAACGTGACGCACAAGTCCGTATCCACTCCACTCCTTCCCAAATGCCCCTTATTCTGGTGCTAGAGGCACAAAATAATGTGCACTCCCCAGTTATTAACCTGCAATAGCAAGCATTGGGCAGTAGCAACAGACATTAGAGCCCCCCCCATTGAAAGGGTGGGCCATGCTATCCTTTTAATAGTCTGATGGCATGCCAAAGGGGCTAATCTCCAATGAGAAACTGCATGCGCAGGACAAGTGAGATGCATGTCAAATATTGCTTCTTTGAGGAAATCTGCCTCAGCTCCTCCCTTTCTCCAGTCCGTTAGAATCATAGAATTGTAGCGGATCATCTGCTCCAACCCACTGCAATGCAATCTTTTGCCCAACATGGGGCTCAAACCCTGAGATTAGGAGTCTCATGTTCTACTGACTGAGCTATGCAGTATCTTCTCTGCTCATCCAGCACTCCTGACCTGTTGGGTTTTGTTCTCTACCCTCTTTCATTAGGGAGGTCATTTAAGTTACAGACAGCCCAAGGTTGCACGTGCCTCTCTGAAAAGCCCTGGCTGCGATCCATTTCTTTTTAAAATTATTATTATTCTAGAATAATCCTGCCCAAGATACTTGGGTAAGTGAGTTGCTGCTACACCTTAAAAGGTAAATGGACCCCTGACCATTAGGTCCAGTCGTGGCCGGCTCTGGGGTTGCGGCGCTCATCTCGCTTTATTGGCCGAGGGAGCCGGCGTACAGCCTCCGGGTCATGTGGCCAGCATGATTAAGCTGCTTCTGGCGAACCAGAGCAGCGCACGGAAACGCTGTTTACCTTCCCGCTGGAGTGGTACCTATTTATCTACTTGCCCTTTGATGTGCTTTCGAGCTGCTAGGTTGGCAGGAGCTGGGACTGAGCAACGGGAGCTCACCCCGTCGCGGGGATTCGAACCGCTGACCTTCTGATCGGCAAGTCCTAGGCTCTGTGGTTTAACCCACAGCGCCACCCACGTCCCGGCTACACCTTAGTTCTTTACAAAACAGCCTTCACCATCCTGGCACCCTCCTTATGTTTTGGACTACAACTCCCATCTGCCCCGGCCAGTGCAGGAAAACACCTGGAAGGCACCAGGTGAGCAAAAGTTGCTATGGAGCTTTGCACACTGTTGCCACTAAAAGAAAGTTCGTAGTGGTTGCCACCTTCCTCTTTCATGCTCACTCACACACCATGTTCCCCCATGTAACCAGAGCTCAACTTGAGTCTTCATCAGAGCATGCTTTGGACTCCAGTGGTCAGTAAGAGGAGCAGGGGTGGTGGTGTTGTTCCTGGCAGGGCCCCCGTGGCCATAATGGCCGTGTGGCAAAAAGCTGCTCCCAGCATGAAGATGAATTGGCTGGGAAAGGGTGGCCTGCCAAACTTCTGCTTGTTGTGCAGCTGTTAGAGGCACAGGGGGAACTGCTGGCAAGCCTACCTGCAGACTCTGGTATGAAGAGCACATGCAGAATTTATTTCTGCATAACTCTAGCTGCCCCTTAACACATCTAGAATTAGCTGGAGGCAGTCTTAGAGCACCAGGAACTCTCCTTCAAAAATAAAATAAAATAGTGATGTCTATTATAAGGAGAAGCTGTTTATTTTCTTGTAGAGAAGGAGACACTGGATGGCAGACTGTCTAGAGACACCAACCTGAGATCTGGAAGCCCTCGCTGTTACTGTAGGGCTTTCGTTAGTCAACAAACGGCAAGGCAAATGTACTCTGTACCAGCTCAGGTAAAGTTAAAGGGACCTCTGACCATTAGGTCCAGTCGTGGCTGACTCTGGGGTTGCGGCGCTCATCTCTCTTTATTGGCCGAGGGAACCGGCGTACAGCTTCCAGGTCATGTGGCCAGCATGACTAAGCCGCTTCTGGTGAACCAGAGCAGCACACGGAAACACCATTTACCTTCCCACTGGAGAGGTACCTATTTATCTACTTGCATTTTGACGTGCTTTTGAACTGCTAGGTTGGCAAGAGCAGGGACCGAGCAACGGGAGCTCACTCCGTCACGGGGATTCAAACTGCCGACCTTCTGATCGGCAAGTCCTAGGCTCTGTGGTTTAACCCACAGCGCCACCCACGTCCCTTACCAGCTCAGGGGCACTTTAATCTCTTCTGCCTTGCTACATGTATCACATGGTTAGTTAGGTATTCAGCATATAACCCACCCTTCACCAGATGATCTCAGGGTGGAATAGGGTTGAGCCCATGGCACTGAAAACAGATGCCTGGGCTCTGAGCCTTGGCACAAATTGCGAAGCCCTAGGCTGCGGTGGGTGGGGTGAGAAGTCTCCTCCTTCCTAGGAAGGGGCGGCAACTCAGTTTTAGAGCTTTCTATGCAGGAGAACGCAAGCCCAACCTCTGACTGCTTCAGGGATAAGAAGGGTTTCTCAGGTTGCAGGACTGGGGGAAATGTTCTGCCTGTGTGACCTTGGAGAGAGAAGCGCTGCTGGTCAGAGCAAACACTACTGGTCAGTGTGGACCAATGGTGTCTGACTCAGTACTGTGCAACTTAACAGATACATTCACATGTTACACTGGACACAGGTACAAAGCTGTCACACAACTCATTGAATGCGACATGTGAACACCCCTGGCGAAGAAATACAGCCCTTTCCTATTTTTTTTATTTTTAAGAGGCCCCCACCTTTGCATGGGATACAGTTCGGGGCACCCCCGCTGAAAATCATCCACTTGAAAAGCACGTGATCGCTGACGTCCTCCTCGGTCCAAGAAGTGGTAAGCCTGCCGGTTTTACAGCACTCCTCCTTGCTGAGACCATTTTTGTAGAGGACCTGGCAGCGGCCGTTCCTGGCTTGCCGGAGCCAGCAATTCCCAGCTGCATTCAGAAAGAGAGAGGGAGAGAGAGAGACCCAGCCATATCAATGTCAGTTACCAGTGACCCAGACACAACACGTGCGGCTTTCATTGACTTTTACTAGACTGTTTACTTTTTATTTGTCCGGTTTCATAACCTGAAGCTTCTCCTCTGGACCAAATGGAAGCGCTATTCCAATAACCTGATCAAGCCAATTTGACATCTTACTTTTCCATATGGAGAAAGCGCTGTAGCTTTGGAGGGGAGTGTGGCGCGTAGGGTAGGGTGGGGCCCCGAAAAGACTTAATTGCACGTGGCAGGGGTGAGAAATAGGTCTCAGGAATTATTATTTTTTTAAAGGAAGGAGAAGATCATAAGGGGAAAAAATGACGCTTATTATCTCCCCCTCATTTGTCCATCCCACACTCCACCCCCTTGCTTAATTCATACATAAAAGTTGGCACACACACGCACACACAACCGACGGGGAAATTTCACTACAGTCTTTCCCGTTCCTCCACCCAAAGTATAGGATTTGGCAACGGTGGTAGCAGCGATGATAAAACCGTAGTCTTTCGAAATCATCAAACTTTGCTGATTTCATCAATAGAAGAAATAGATGGCTTGTAGTAGAGGAGTGAGTGACCGAAGTGTGCACGCGTACTGCTAAGCGCAGGAGGAGGGAAGCGGAGAAGAATCGGATTAAGCTACACAAGTTTATACGGGTTTACTAGAGAAAAACAATTGGGGGAACATACGCGCGCACAAACACACGGTTACCCACAACAACAACCTTGCGGCTGGTCTGCTGCTGCTGCTTCTGGATCCGAACCAAGAACACTGATTAGACCTGTCGCTCCATTCTCTGAGATTGAAGAATTTGGGGGAGGGGGGGCGAGTCCCTCGTGAACCACCAATGTGACTCCTCCAAACACTCAGTGGCAATCGATTCTGTTTCTTTATCCATATGGGAATTTTGCCAGAGCAAAGAATTCAGAAGGAAATCACACACACACACACGACTAACGTGGTCCCAAGCACCAAATCTATCCGCCTCAAAACTTCAAAAGAGTAATGGTAATAATAATTATCGTATTTTAGCTGCTGTCAGTCTAAGGTTGCAATATAGCACCAAGGGAGGCATAATCATTAACAAAGGAAACAGAAATAAATGCCCCAAGTCTAAACTGTAGAAGTATCCTAATAACCCCTCAATCCACATCTAATCAATACTGGAGTGGAGATGGGGGCGAAACGCTTTTAGTCGTAAATACGTGGTTACATTGTGGGTTGGTTTTTTTTTTAATCACCCTAAGATACCCTTTGCCAAAGTTCACAGAATGGCATAAAACTAGAGGAAAGCAGGGGCACATAAAACAATTATCCAAACTTGAAAAAACTCTTTTCCTCTAGGAGTGTGAGCTATAATAATGAGTTCCTTTCGGAGTCCATATTCCCATCCTCGTCGCGCCAAGATGATTTTAGCAAATTAAACAGCAACCTTACCAAAAAGCTGCAACAACAAAAACAAAACTGCACAGCCTCCCCTCCCTCCCTCTCTCTCAGGCGCGCGCGGGAGCACACACAGATTCACACATGTTCAAAACCAGACCTCCGTGGTGGTCGAACTCAGAAAAGTTCTGAGCTGGTGCAGCGGCTCATTTAAGCTGCAGCGCGTTAGGGATGCAAGATAAAAGCTATTGAGAAAAGAGGCTAGAGCTAATGATGATGAAGGCAATCAAGATTTTAATGATGATTGCGCCTCGCTTCCCTGCCCGATGCACCCGGCCAGACGCGGATCGCCCTGTCACCTCTGCGCCATTTGTGCTAAGGAGCCCGCGCAGAGCGATCCTAAGCACGTTTCCACCCAAAAAAGTAAGTCCCAGTGCGAGTTGAACGGACTTGTTTATTTATGTCCGAGACGGCAGCCGTAGACATGCAAAATCCCAGACATGTCTGCTCAGAGGCATGCCCCGTTGAGTTCCACAGTCAGCTCATCTGACGGGAGTCTCTGGAGAAAAGCGTCAGGGAAGAAGGCAGAAAGGGTAGACAGACAGACTCTCTCTAGGCAGACGGATGACAGAATAGGCACATCTGCACATTAAAAAGGCGTAAAAGCGCATCTTACCCTGTGCTGTTTGATCTTCCATGAAGTGGCAGAAAAACAGCAGGAGAAAAACCATGCCCGGGAAGATTCTCTGATTTAACATCCTTAGTTATTTCCCTCCAGCGGAAAGAGAAGAAGCAACCTCTCAAGTAGCAGGAGGAAGACGAGGGAAACGAAAGAGCACGCCAGACAGACAAGCCTGCTTATTGAATGAACGTCAGGCTCTGAATGCTGCCTCTCTTTAAATCTATGGGGTCTTAGCTCTGCGGTGGGCGGTCTCCTAATGTGTGTGTGCGCGCGCGAGTGTCTGTGTGTGTTCGGAGGTGGGGGGGAAGAGTGTTGGAGATTTTTAAAAGTTGAGTGCGAATCAGTGTGAAACCCTTTCCAATGATCCGACCTCCCCCCCTTTTTTTTAGGTGCGCGCGCGCGCGCGGGCACACACAGACACGCGCGCCCATCTAGTCTTTACGCTCCGCAAGCCAGGCACTCCACTCGCCACACTGGCGGTTAGAGCGACCCTACCTACCCAAAGGGACTCGCCTCACCTTCCTTACCGTCTGCGGTAGCAAGGAAGGAAAGGAGCGTTCGTTGTTGTGGTGGTTTGTGTGCGTGTGTCTGAAGCCAACAACAACAGTTTCTAGTAACCTTAAAATAAAAGGGGGGGGGAAGCTTATAAGAGCACCCCCTGACTCCACTAATAAACCAGGGCGCAGGGAAAAGAAGGGGGAGAGAGGCGCGTTTAGACAGGAGACGCTACTTCTTAGGGAGTCTGTTTCGAAAGCCCATTTCGCTGGTTTGCAGCGCCTGCTTTTCCCACCCGAGTTCCCTAGCCCCTTCCCAACCCAACCTGGCCGGGGAGGGGGGATGATATGCGAGTTGCAAAACAGCGATTGCGTTTGGAACGGAAGAGAATTGTGTGTGCAGAGATCTATGCTTGCAAGGAGGTGCAGCTGAGCTAGACGGCGACTGAGCAGTCACGAAGTTTTCCTCCCGAGAGGAAAAAGACGAAGCCTTGGCGTTGTCCGCGTTGTCTGTCTCTCCTGCGCCCCTCTCCCTGGAAATGTTTGGACTGGGGGGGGGGTGAGTGTTGCACGGTCTCCCCACCCCTCCCGCCGTCTCCCCACCACCAGCCCCGCGCCCCAGATGTTGTGGCTACTCATAAATCTCTAACCCTCACACCTCCAAACAGTAGTTAAGTGTCTGGCGCGCACATATTTCGCCCTCTCTGGGACTCGTCAAAAACAAATCAAAGTTTAATGCCCGGTTCAATACCCAAGTGTGAGTCTTTTCACTTGGGGGCGTCTGGAGTATTTGGAGTTGCAATGGAAGGTGGCGGCGGCGGTGGAGAAGGAGAAGGAGAAGGAGAAGGAGAAGGAGAAGGGACTGGCGATGGGGAGGCGACGTAGGCGGTCCCTCTTCCCGAAGAATAAAATAATAAGCCATCCTCCTCTACGACGGGGGAGGCGGAGAGACGGGACGGACGCGATTGCAACAGGCCTAATGAACTTTTGCAGCGTTGCTAGTCTATTAAGCGCTGTCTGGCATTCTTCTCGGCTTCTTTCAAGAAGAGTTGGCGGACTCATTTATAATAACATTTTTTGGCACCGCTGAATGAAACTGAGTAGGCGATATTTCCTTTTATACCAAACGATTACTTAACGGGAAAAAAATGGGGAGTGTTGATTCAAAAATCCGCCTCTTTAAAAACAACAATAAACCCCCCCCTCCTCCGAGCCTCGTCCAGTGCCCGGCCCTTACCAAGAGGGCAACAGACAGCAAAAAATGCAGGCAAACATTCTTGCTTACTGCCAAGTCACTGGGATTTGTACCGAAGTCCGGCCGATCCTTCTTCAGACTCCCCCCCCCTTTATCCCCCCCGTCTGCCCCTTCTTCCCCCCTCCATCCCCAAGTCTCTCTCTCTCTCTCTCTGCCCCCCACCAACCCCCCTTCCTACAACTGCAAATAACTCAGTGATAACAGATTTTTTTCCACCAACTGCAGGAGATAGTGCTAATCTTTTAATAAAAGATCCCATTACAATGGGATCTGTCTGGACAGACTATAATAGATCTAGAAATACAGCCGTGCTAATATTAGAAGACAGTTGTTTGGGTGCCTCAGACTGGGCCACGGTCCCGCCTTTGAAAAATGGGCATGAATCACAATGCCACGCCGAGGCATATCCCCCCCTCCCCCCGTCACACCCATTCACAACCAGACTGGTAAATGACTGACCTCTTCCTTGCAATTTATATATATACATATTTGGGTGGTGCTGGTGGTGGGGAGTATAGTCATTACAATCTTTATTGCCGAGCTCCGGGGCATTTTGATAATTTCAGAAGCTTCTTTGCATCCTCCGCCGCGCCCCCCCTCCCCGTCTCACCCCGTCCCCCAAATCAGTTCAGCCGCGCTCTCCCTTTCCCCCCTTTCTCAATAGCACGCCTGATGCGGGGTTGATGAGCGCCCTCTTATGGCGGATGCCGTTATACACGGACAGGAAGGAATAAAACAAGCCAGGCTTCTGCAGGAACCGTCGTTAAAAATGTGGGATTCCTGTCGAAAACAGGTAGCGGCAGAGTCTAGGATGGATCCCGGTGTTCCCGCACGGTTTTGACAAAGCCGGATATTTTATTTATTTATTCTGGCTTCCCTTAAAAACACGCGCGCACGTAGCGGGTGGTGTTTTCCCAGACACTGACTCTTTTGAAACTTTGCTCGTTTCCTTATGAATCAGGCTTGTAAATGTTGCCGCTGAAACGTCCTGCCTCTCCGATTTAGCCTTACACCACTCCCCAAGGGAAGTCAACGTGGGGCCCTCCAGAGCTGAGGCTGGTGGGAATTGTAGTCTAGAACAGCTGGGGGGCGCCTGGTTGGCTATCTCTGCCTTATGTTCTAAGGAAATAAAGTGGTACCTCGGGTTACAGACGCTTCAGGTTACAGATGCTTCAGGTTACAGACTCCGCTAACCCAGAAATAGTACCTCGGGTTAAGAACTTTGCTTCAGGATGAGAACAGAAATCGTGTGGCGGCGGCACACCGGCTGCAGGAGGCCTCATTAGCTAAAGTGGTACCTCACGTTAAGAACAGTTTCATGTTAAGAACGGACCTCCAGAACAAATTAAGTTCTTAACCCGAGGTACCACTGTAATAAGCCATTGAGAAAGCTTTCCACCCTCTGCTCAAAGTCACAACGGATGAAGATGCAAAAGGGTCTCTTGTGACCTGAGGCTGATTACAGACCTCACTGCACCCCCTTTTGTTCTGCATATTTGGCTCAGAGCACTGCACACACAGCACCCCAATAATGTATTGCAAGATCTGGGCAAAGTGAGCTGGTATTGTTATCCAGATGTTGTGGGTGGGATGTCCAGTGCCATGTTGACTTAAGGCCACTTTCAGCAAATTTGTGGCCAAGGAAATATTTGAACTGGGAAGTAGTCATACAGTTACTATACCAGTCAGTGTTTTTTTCCCCCTGGGGGTACTCAACGGTAAAAATTAAAGGACCCCTGGACTTTTAAGTCCAGTTAAAGGTGACTATGGGGTTGCAGCGCTCATCTTGCTTTCAGGTCAAGGGAGCCGGTGTTTGTCCACAGACAGCTTTCCGGGTCATGTGGCCAGGATGACTAAACCACTTCTGGCACAACGGGACACCATGACGGAAACCAAAGTGCACGGAAATGCTGTTTACCTTCCCATCACAGTGGTACCTATTTATCTACTTGCACTGGCGTGCTTTCAAACTGCTAGGTTGGCAGGAGCTGGGACAAAGCAACAGGAGCTCACTCCATTGCGGGGATTCGAACCACTGACCTTCTGATAGACAAGCCCAAGAGGCTCAGTGGTTCAGACCACAGTAGCGTACTCAATGGTATGCTACTGCCTCTTTTCTAGAAGAAAAGCACTGGTTTAAAATGTGGCACTTACCATAACAACTTCATGGTGAGTACTGGCACCTTTTCTCTCCCTAGAAGAAAGCACTGTGTTTGATCCTAACAGACCCTCATCTTGCATAACCCTGTAGAACTCTATCTATGACACCCTTTGCAAATATGGTGCCCTCCCATAAACCCCAGACACCACAACATCTGGAAGGCACCTGGTTCCCAAGATGAGAGGGTGTTGGATGGAAGTGATGGGAATACAGTTAACTTTTACTTGTGTATCTCCTGTTGGTGCTAAGTATGAAATGAAATGCATTTGGGGGCCCAGGATCTCAGCTTTAATTCCATGTTGGATACTGGATAGATGATAGATAGATAGATGATACCTGAAAGCCACTGCAATTTGTGTGCAAACATATATAAACTCGAAAGATTTTATATGCCATTTCATATGCCATATTAAATGAAAAATTATGCAAACTAAAACTCTGCATCATCATGGCCCTAATTTAAATGTCATCTGTTGGAAATGTTGTGGTTTTTGGTGTCACCAGCTTATCTTGGTCTGCAAGGAGAAAAGTAATGTAATTAGAATACAAGACATACGGTAATTGGTGGCAAACATAGTCAGGGACAGAACAGCAGAAAAGTAGGCCAACAGGACGGAGTAACAAAAAATTTAAAATTAAAATTTACCTGCCTTCATTCTTTACAGCATTCTGGCAATTCGATAAAAGATCACTCCCTCTTCCCAATTCACAAATGTAGCAAAGCACTTGGTTACATCAGGTCAAGGACTGAGCCAGTGTGTGGGATCAGTGTGGATAAAATGGAGGGTTGTTTGCTCTGGAGAATGGTTCACGTTCTCTCACTGAAGCTTCACCTTGATCATGCTTCACCTTGGCTTCGTATTGATCCACTGGGCAAAATGTTTATCCCAATTCTAGAAAGTATTTGCTATTACAGGGGCAGCTTTAATAGCCCATATTCCTGGAAGCAAACCTCATAACAGGTCATAACGGTCCCATATGCGCCTCAGATGTGCATCATCGGCAGATCAATATGATTGCCCTGGTATGGAGACTTGAATCACACCTGTTTTCTGACATCGCGTAGAGACAGCTGCAGTTTCCTTTATTGTTTTGGCTTCTTCAAATGCTAGGCATTTGGCTTTGCTCGCACCTAAATGTCGGGGAGCAGCATTGTTGGACCTGAAATCTTCCTTTCATATATCAGCATATTTTGACTGCCCTGCCTCCCTCCTCTTGCTTTGCCAACAACAAAATGTAACTTACAGTAAAGGCAACAATGATGCCCGCTCTGTAAAGGAATTGTCTCATGGGACACAAGAATGCTGCCATTCTCAAGCTTTGCGTTTTCTCATTAAAAAGCGA